ATGTGATGTCCCAGCTCTAGTAGTAAGGCAGAGGGGAAAAAAGGGCAAATTCCTCCTTCCTCTACCTGTAGTTCTATTCAGGCCCTCAAGGGATTAGAGAGTGCCCACCCATAATAGGAAGAGCAATCTACTTTAAAGAGTCCACTGATTCAAATGTTAATCTCATCCTCATCCAGATACACCCTAAAAGACACACCCAGAAATACTGTTAAATCTGGGCACCCTATGGCCAGTTAAGCTGACAAATAAAATTACCCATCACATGGGTAAACAATTTTGCAACAGAATGCAAACTCTATCACCTTTGAGAGCAAATCACCTATCAAAAGCTCTGAAAATCCCGAAAGAACTTCCTTTGTGCAAATATCTGTAAAATGTATTTGAAACACAAAATTTTATTCCCTTAACAACTATTAATCTGGGATTTCTAAAAGTGCTAGAGTCCGCCTTTTCCCATCTGTATCTTGTTAACCACAAAAGCTACAATTAGTGTCAATATATAAAAACCAATAAATCGGGCACGTGGGTGGCTCAGTTGGTTAAGCGACTGCCTTCGGCTCAGGTCATGATCCTGGAGTCCCTGGATCGAGTCCCGCATCCGGCTCCCTGCTCGGCAAGGAGCCTGCTTGCTTCTCCCTCTGACCCTCCCCCCTCTCATGTGCTCTCTCTCTCTCATTCTCTCTGTCTCAAATAAATAAAAAATTTAAAAAAAATCTTTAAAAAAAAAAAAAAAACAATAAATCTGGGGGCGCCTGGGTGGCTCAGTCGTTAAGCGTCTGCCTTCGGCTCAGGTCATGATCCCAGGGTCCTGGGATCTAGCCCCACATCGGGCTCCCTGCTCCACGGAGAGCCTGCTTCTCACTCTCCCACTCCCCCTGCTTGTGTTCCCTCTCTCGCTGTGTCTCTCTCTGTCAAATAAATAAAATATTTAAAAAAAAAAACAAAACCAATAAATCTGGGTGGCAGTGACTTAACACAAATATAAACCATTTTTATTTAACATTTACTAATGCCTCACATTTGCACACAACCTGAATTATTAAGCTTAAACAGCTACAATGTTTTACTACATATTTCTGAAAGCACAAGACAAATATCAACAGGCTGGTAACTGCTTGTTATGCAAAAAACAACCTCCAGAGTATACCACAGCCCTTGTTTAAATTCAACATATTTTCCTACAACTTCTATACCTTTAGTTCTCTGTAATAATAAATGCTCAGAATCATAACCCTAATAGCTTTTGAAAAAAAGTTTAAAAATGTGTTTAAAGAAAATCCGTTGATAAATACTTCTTTATATCCTAATGTATTTCATTATATTCTAATGCTGTGAAAATTCAGATTAACTGAAACAAATCCTCAAGTAAACATCCCATACCCTAATTCTGATATATGTAAATTTATACTTTTTTTAAAAAAGAGAGCAGTGGAGGGTGAATAGGTATTAAACAAATAATTTTCAAGTATACTTTTGACAAATAGGAGTAACATTAAGAAGAAGTCCTAACAGGGGCAAAGACAGTAGAAGGGGAAAAAGATTAACTAGACATTTAAAACAAATCTGTCATCCCTATGTGGAAAATGCAAAAGACACATGGATATGGCTAGCAAGTCTTTTAAGTATTTCATTTGTATTGAGAATGAAAATAATACAAATTAAAGCCAAAAAGTTTAAATCGAAAACTGTTAACTGCCCTTTAGAGAAAAAAAAAAGGGGGGGGGGGGGCAAGAGGACCTACTGGGCTGTACTTTCAATTCACACTAATCTATCATATCACAGGTTTCAAAGTTCAATATACATATTAATTTGCTCAACTAGGTAATTTTTCCATTAACTTAAGATGGCTCTTAATTGATCACTTGCATAGTTTCTCATTTCTGTAAAGGTTTCAAAGACCTATTTTGACAAAATGCAAAACTGAAGTTTTATATGCATGTTTATCATTACTGCTATTATTATGTATCTATATACCTGGCATCCTCATCCTGGTTCAAAAAAAAAAAACTTAAACCTAAAAATAGTCTCTACTGATGATTATCAGCTACAAAAGAAAATTAATGATATGCATTCCACACTGAGCCACAAAAACAGCACACAATGTGGAATAAAAGGACCTAGGTGTGACTCTTGGTTCCACCACCTGTTACATAATTTTAAGCAAACTATTTTAACTCTGTCTTCTCATCTGGCTATGGAGGACAGTATCTCCTACCTCAATGCTGAGATGTCAAAGAACCAAGCAGATAGTACCACTCACCACTTTCTGAGCACAGGGTCTGCTTGTTGAACAAGAGATTCTTTTTTAACATAGCTCATCATTATATATTTTAAGATCTAACATGAATTAAATCACTTCCCCTAATATCTCCTGATCTATGTTAGAACGAGAAGCAATAAAACGGAGTCCCACACTATTAATTTTTTAGTAACCAATACTGAGTAAAATTTTCTATCTATTTCAAAATAGGACTATTTCTGAGCATCAGAAACAAAAGGCTAAGGTAAAGTAAAAAGTCTTTCTCAAGTAGTAATTCTCAGTTTACCTACTGACAATATTGGGACAAGACAGTAGTGTATTAGGGGCGCCTGGGTGGCTCCGTTGGTTAAGCAACTGCCTTCAGCTCGGGTCATGATCCCGGAGTCCTGGGATCGAGTCCTGCATCGGGCTCTCGGCTCCAGTGGGAGCCTGCTTCTCCCTCCAACCCCCTACCCTCTTTCCTCTCATGCTGTTTCTCTCTCTCTCTCTCAAATAAATAAAATAAAATCTTTTTAAAAAAAGATAGTAGTGTATTATAAAATCGATCAAGAGAGCTGAAAATTACTCACTGAAAGCTATACAGTCAGAATTCTGTACTAGGTCAGGAGATGGGATTCAAGTTTCACATTTGCCACTAATAAATGTTGACCTTGGACCAGTCTCTGGGCTTCAGTTTTCTAATCTATAAAATGACTACTACAAACCAAAGATAAAATCCAAGTACCATTTAATCTGGGCCTTCGTAGTAGTTAACAGAATGGACTCGGAAGGGACTGCCAAGGTGGGAAACCTGGATCGGCTACTTACAAGCTTTGTACCAGTAACACACAAAGCACTACAGTACATCTTACTGGCATCAATGACTTACTATTTAAAATATTTCACTGAAACACGAAATCATTTTACAATACAGAAGCTTAGAAGGTACAGTCCTTCCAAATCAAGGCACTAGCATTTTACTAGCAGACAATGAGCTCATGTGATAGCATTACAACTCTTTAAAACATGCTAGTCTAAGCCAAGTTTCATCATAAGATCATGTCATAAAATATCACACGTTAAAGACTCCACTGAAACTTATTATAAGGCTAATTATTCTCACCAAAATAGCACACTGAAGGTAAAAATACAACTTCTGCTACTCAGATCTTTTTTTTAACCTAATACTGCTAATGACAACAGAAAGTTATATCATAATCTCTGAGAATTTAATAAACTCCAGGAATGAAAAATATGTGAAATTTAGAAATATTAAGTGAGGAGCGCCTGGGTGGCTCAGGCCATGATCCCAGGGTCCAGGGATCAAGCCCCAAATCAGACTCCCTGCTCAGCAGGAAGCCTGCTTCTCCCTCTCCCACTCCCCCTGCTTGTGTTCCCTCTGTGTCTCTCTCTCTCAAATAAATAAGATCTTAAAAAAAAAAAAAGAAAGAAATATTAAGTGAGCTACAAACTACTAGAAACAAGGAGTTCATGAATTACAATCAACCAGTAAGTATTTACCAGAGACATCATAGCCGAGGCTCTGTGTGCAAATCAAGTGCAAATACCAAAGTGTGAACTTCCTCAGAGGTTTATCAAATTGGAAAGGCAAGTAAATCCTTTTTCATCACATTTTAACACAATAAAAGCCACTCAACTACAAACGATTTTATTCCCTTTTGGCCCAGGTAGGAATACTTCCTGTTGCCCATTAAAATTGTTCCATATCTTTAACTCAGCCCACAAAGATGCCCAAACTAGTAGTCCCTGACAGCTGACATCGGAACCTTCAAAGGACTTCAAGCAAGTAGCTTCTAAGACATTTCCTCAAATCCACAAGCTGCAGAATTTATCTTCAATGACACCTACACCAGCATATACCACTACACATAACTGTGTTAACTTGGGTCAAGTATCTAATTAGACCAATTTAGTTCTTGCCCTTAAAGTATTGCTAGTAAAGGCAAACTCTACAAAGGCAGACTCTTCAAAAAGTCTGCTTTTTGCAATGGACATGAGGCACTAGAAAAGGGACACTGATTGGCTAGTCATAGTTGCCCTACTTCCATTTCAGGTTCAAGTTTAAAAAAAAAAAAAACTGTTCCACAAAGGGTACCAAGGGAGCCTTAAGCAAATCAAGAGTGTAGATGCTAAACTGAACTTTCTGATTCCTACGATTCAAAAAGGTGACAGGGTCGGGGGTGGGGAGGGGGTACGGTGATACAACTGGGCTATTCAAGTGTCGTTTGAGAAAGAAGGTCCACTTCACGAAGGAGGCAAAGTAGGGGGTGGGTAAAAACCGGTCTGGCCAAGTGACAAACCCAGGATGCTGACTGAGCTTGGAGGTGGAGGGCCCTGGAGGCCGGGACCGGAGAAGGGAGGTCTCGGGCAAACCGTAGGGGAACAGGAACCAGCAGCAATGCAGAGAGACCAACGCTGCCACAGAGCAGCGTGTAAGGGGACACCACGAAGGAAGCGATGAGTTAGGAGGTAGCGACAGCAGGAGGGTGACCAGTGCCACGGGCGACGGTCAAGTGGCAACTGCGAAAGAAGAGGCACAGCAGCCGGAGGTGGCGGGACTCTGTTGAGTCAGCACAGCTCCTATTCAAGGGGGCACTTGTAGGATCCCCGCTGCTCCTCGGGCCCCGGGGCCCGCTACGGAGGGTCAGGCCCGCGGGCGGGAGAAATGATGTTCTCGGAAGAGCTGGCGCCGGCCCCTTCCCCATTTCACAGGTAAACACTGGCCGCCGTCGCCGCTTACCTCTGTTAACATTATTACACCCCGGGGAAGTGAGCTCCTCCCTAGCCTCGCCGCATGGCAACAGCCGTAGCAGCAGCGAAAACTGCCCGAGCCGCCGCCAACGGCCGAAACAGCTCCTTCAGTCCTCTCCCGGGCGGCGGCTTTACTCGGCTTTGCTGGCTTCCCCCCGGCCCGGCTGCTCGCGACGGATGCGCCGCCATCTTGGAAGAGCGACGTCCGCGTCTTTCCGCGACGTGCGCTCCCATTGGTGAGCGCAGGAGCCGCCGGCGACTCGTGACCGTCTCCATGGCGCCGGCGCGTGGGGAAGTGGAGGCGGACGCCTCGCGGCCCGCTCGGCCGCAGCGGTGAGGCCTCCGAAGCTGGGTTCTCAGGCGGACCTGGCACTGCCGGGAGTGGAGACGGGGCCCAGCGCAGGGCCAGCCCGGGATCCGGCGGGCGCGTCCGCAGAGTTCGCTCGTCCTCCGCCGCACGCCGGGCTGGGCCGACTCTGGGGAGGAGCGAGACCCGCAGAGACCGAGCCTTTGACTGATGGCGCTGCGAACCTCGCGCGTCTCGGGGACAAGGCGGCAGATGTCCTGTAGAAAAACCTTCCTCTCGCATTTCCTTTGCCCAGCAGCGACCGAGGAGCATGCGGAGGGTCGGGTCCCTCCGCGAATGGGGTTAAATATGATCTGAAACTGCTCCCCGCGCAGTTCCTCTCTTCCTGAACTTTGACAGAAACTTTCCTTTGTCCTTACCAGTCGTCGGCGAACCCCTTTCTGGTGTGTGCGACAGGTTGTAGAACTGATACAGGCGTATCAGCTTTACCCACGATCCTAGCGGTTCGGACTGTCGCAGATTAGGTGATTGGCCAGCACCTGCATAACAATGAGGGCCGAGTTTCGCTTCTTCTAAGAGACCCAAAAACAAAACAATCAAAAAAGTAAAGCCACTTTTGCTTTTTAACTGCCATTTCAACAGTTCTACTGGCTTCTTGATAGAATATGTTTATGTATCGGTGCAAATTTCAGCAGGTGTCATTGTAAACAGTGCCAACTTGAAATGGGACTGAACTCGGGCACTCTGTGCATAGAAGTCCCTGAGACTGACACCATTCTGAATCTACTACCAGATGGGTTACATTGTGTGGAATTGGAGGCAGTCACTTCTACCTGAGTTTGAATGAAAGTAGTTTACCTGAACCTGCTGTCAAAGCGTGTTAACTCTGGCGTGTGTTAGAAACTAGTTTACAAGGAAATTTGAAGATTTTCAGATTTTTACAGGGGGTACAAAGGCATTTGGGGAAACTAATGCCAATAGTTCATTCCCCTTTCCGGAATCTCCTTACCCACACCTCGACTCCTTTCCTTAACAATGGTACTATTTTATAAAATGAAATTTAACACATTACTCCCATATTCTCAAAATACTAAGTGAAGGCATTACAAACTTGTGTTACCACTATTCTGTTGTATCCTCACCAAGGAAACAAAATTGTTCATTTAGGTAGTCTGGTAGAAATTCAAGAAAAACCTTCATTTTAGTGAATTCAACTAATTGAGGCAAAGTAGTTTTTGTTGTTGTTTTGATTTACATCTGATACATAATTTCCATATTACTGGCCCAGTAGAATTCTGATTTCTGCAACACAATAAAGTGTGTTACTGGTATTGACAGATTAAGCCATGAATAGGAAATACGATTGGAATATACTATCTGGACTAAGATATTAAGGGAAACTAAGAGATACTAGAGACAACAAGGAAGCTGGAAAAAGATATTGTTCCAACCTGTAAGTAAGAAGAGAAGGATACTTATTAATATTTAAGATACCAGCTGGTGAATTAAAACTGTAATTTAGGCGACTAGCCTTGAGTATTTAACTTTTTGTACATTATTTTCCCATTCCAGGAGCAATACATTTTCACCTATTCTAAAGGTGGTGAAGTAAGTGTAAACATAACGTGAGGTTTGTACCAACCTATAATGTGACATGAACATGCTTTTAACATTTAAGAGTTTATCTGCAGACCTAGGAGCAAGCCAAAATCATTAGCTCCCTGTTTTCTCAGCCAGAGTCCTTTCTGTGACCTAAAAAACCTTATGCTAGCTAGCCTCCCAAGTCCCTCCTCACATCCACATTTCTGACCTCATTTCTACCAAGCACTTTGTTCCAGCTTTCCTGCTCCTGTAACAGCAAGGCATCTTTTTGCGTTGACTGTACTCCATCTAGAAGGATCTTTCCACCAAATACTTGCATGGCTAGAGCCCTCACAATTGTCCCATCTTTGCTCAAATGTCACCTTTTTCAAAGAAGCCTACTCTGATCAACCCATTTAAAACGTTGCCTGTCCCCACCCCCCCTCCCTTGCTTCAGTTTTCTTCATAACTCTTATACCTTCTAACGTAATTACTGTTTTTCTTTCTTATTGTCGGTCTTCCCTCCATTGGAATATAAGCTCCACGAGGTCAGGGATATTTTTGTTGTTCTGTTCAGTGATGTTTCCTCAGCACCTAGAGTACTAAGAATATTGCATGGAATATAGTGGACAATATTTCTTAAGTGAGTGGGTAAATCATTTTCTAAAAGACCTCAAAAGGAAAAAGCCTAATTAAAATTGATTTAAAGCAAAATCTTTGGTGTTGAAAGGTTAATTTTTTTTAAATCGGCCAATGTGCATTCTTATCTTGCAATTACGGGGCGAGTTACTTTTACTGTCACTAGAATGCTGGAGAGAAGTTTATGACAGAAATGTGACCTACGCCTTTATTTTTGATTGTGGTAATGGGATGAGGGCTAAAAAAGATAAAATATGTTAAAAACAAACCTTGTATTTATCTTGGGCATGAGTTAAAATTAACTTGCTAGCAAGGGGAGCAACAAACTGAATATGGTACGCCATTTTGGTGAGTTATGGAAATTGAGGAATTATATAGTTGGGAAAGAATGTTTACAGAATCAGCTAGCTTAAAATAAGCACCTAATTTGGTACCGATTACAGTTGCATTCCATGTGGTCTTGAAAACATATCAGTTGTTACAAAGGAAACCTGGAACCAGCTGATCTGAAATGCTGGCTGCTTTAGCTATCAATCAGAAATTCAAAACAAAACAATCTGTTTTAAGAAACACATGATAAGGATATTTACGTGGCTGTTCTTGCAAAAGGTTTGATTCCCCAACAGCAGTGTCCAATCTGTCCAATTAACACAGGAAGGTATGACAAAAGGAGGTCAGAGGCAAAAACCAAGTGTGTGACGCTTTTAAACAGGCCACTGCCAGTGATCTCTAAACCACCAAGCAGCAATTTGGAATATCTAGTTTGCCTACTCTTTCGTTTTAAAACAGATAAAAAAGATTCTCCTGCATATTCAGGTTGTTACAAATTGGCTACAATTCCTTTTGAAAAACTGGAGAAATATAGCATCAACCTTCCAAGCAAATCAAATCTATCACACAGTTGTTATATTTTAATCTTTTGGTTTCTTAAGCCATTTCATTAACTCCAGTTTCTTAGTAATACCATATCATCAGTGTCAATTACCACCGCTGCTGAACATTAAATAGTACTATGCATTCATTAACAAGGCCCAATAACAAAGCCCGTGATTCAGTATTGAAGTAATGCATTGCCAACAGAGGAGACACATTCTAAGAAAGACAACAGCAGGATATCCTGAATCTGTTATAGCTTTAGTAGGGCAACAGGAAGCAGAAATCTTGGGGCATTTAAGAGTGATTTGAAGTCTAGCTTCAAATAGCCCAGCTTGTGCTTTTTTCTTGCATAGTATTTTTTGAGGAAATACTGAGACAACTCAAGCCTAAGAAACTGAAACAGAGATAATATGAAGCTTTGCTAATAATAGATGTAGCCATAGCAAAATAATAATGTTCACATTTCAGAAGTATGAAGAGACACTGGCAACTTCAGTCAATAGTTTCGTTTGTTTGTTTTAAGGTTTTTATTTATTTGACAGAGAGAGAGCAAGCGCAAGCAGAGGGAGCAGCAGGCGGAGAAGCAGGCTCCCCGCTGAGCAAGGAACCAGATGCAGGCCTTGATCCCAAGGTCCTGGGATCATGAACTGAGCAGAAGGCAGACACTTAACCAACTGAGCCACCCAGGCGTCCCCAATAGTTTTTAAAAGAGATATTTTTACATCACAAAAATTAGACCTGGAGCACTTTTCAAACATTTAATTCTCAATTATGAATACTATTTTTCAGTACTTTTTATGGGTCAGGTGCTGTGGGAGGTATTTTGCACATATTATGCTTAACAATTGAGGAAGGCTGTCACAGTAGATCTTATTACCCTTTGAGACCATGACAAATTTAGTGAGCTGCCCCAAGTCACCTATCAAGGGTATATACTATCAACATCATTTATCACTGTTGATGTTGACTTCAGTCAACCTGGCTGAGGTAGTGTTTGTCAGCTTTCTCTGCTACAAAGTTACTGTTTTTTCCCCTTTCCATACTGCTATACTCCTTGGAAGGAAGTCACTAGCAGCAGTCCACACACAAGGAGGCCAGGATTATGCTCCTTCTCCTTGAGGACAGAATATCTACTTAAATTATTTGGAATTATTTTGCATGGGAAATTTGTCTCTTCTTCATTTTTTATCAATTCAATCATATATATGAGTATGGACTCATACATATTTATTTTATACTTTGGGTTAAATCCAACACTTTTTTATTTTGTTGCTCAAATTGTCCCAGCTTTGGGCATTGGGAATTCTTAGTTGCCCTATGTCCTCTTAATGTATTCATATCAATGTGGGGTAGTTTTTTGTTTGTTTTTTAAGCACTTCCTTACTTTCTACAAGATACTCTAGATACTACAAAATGCTCCAGGGTCATTATACCCCAGTCCTAGAATCAGCCATTTCTCTAAGGAATTTCCATTCCTTTATTGGAGATTGGTATTAGAAAACAAGATCTAGGCACTAAGTGTGTTCTTTGCTACTCAGGGTGTCCTTTCTTTTCATCCCTTGCAACTGACAAAGCAAGGAAATATGTGTGTGTACACTAATCCATATATACACCTATCTATACGTATTTCTGTATGTAACCATCTGTATTTATATTAAGGTAACATGAGTTCATACTGATGTCTCCCAACTCTAACCCATTAACAGTGAATCATTCCAGCCTTCTCCCTTTGCTTATCTGTAAATTCCCACTCCCAACAGTGGGAAACCTGGTTCCTACCATTTGCCATCCATTTCTTTAACTCTTTAATCTCAGTATACATGCATAGCAATATCAGAATTGTTAACCCTTAGCAACAACCTGGTCAACTAGAATACAGTGTCTAGACAAAATTCCTTTTGTCTTTAATCTTACTAATTTCAGTTATTTCCAAAGTTGCTTAGTTCAGCTACGTTTCCCCCAACTTCCTTCCCTGCGATTGTTTCATACGTTTGTAATACGTTTAGATTCTCTTGTAGCACTCTACTCTCTTTGAGATTCCCCCAATCACCTTAATGATTTGATTTCTTTCTCATTTGCACATAGTAAGTTTCACTCTGTGCTTTTTGGCAACAACTTAACGTCATATCATACAGAATAGCTTCACAGCCCTAAAACATAAAAGGAAAGGAAAATATGTAATGAAATTACTTTTACATTTTTAATTATAGACCCAAACAACTGATGATTTTACAGAAAAAATTTCACTTGGATATAGAGAGATCAATAAAGATACACACATATATATTTGATATATTAAATATATAATTCTCTATAATACCTGATATTAAGTTCTTGCCATATGCCAGCCTTTGTTCTAAGTGCTTCACAACAATGGTATAAAATTATATAATAAAACGTTACTATTCGCATTTTACAAATGATGGAACTGAGGTCCAGAGAATTACATTTTTTTAGCTCAAGTTTACACAACTAGTAGTAAAGTTGATATTTAATGAAAAAATTAAATATATACACATATGTATGTATGTATCTCTCTATATACCATATAGTTACATAATTTAGAATTATATGTGTGTAACTACTGTAACTTCAAGTATATTAAATTAGTCAACTTTAAAAATTAAAATTTTTCAATAATCATGTCCCCAGTTTCTTATGTGAATCTCAAGAACTATGACTGGCTTTTGACCTCCTGTTTTTGCCTTCAGCCAAAGGAGGAAATGAGAAAAGGAATCAGTGCTCATAGAACCTAATATGTCCCCATATTTACGGCTTACCTCAGCTAGTTCCATTTTTACAGAGTAAGGGTGAAATAAAAGATTGCTATTATATTGTGCCCTACTTTACTAGCTTAACAAGTAAGGTAAAGAATAAGATTATTCTAAAAATTACTATTGTTTTTAAATGGCAATATATTATGTTAATTGGAACATAGTTAATTTGACCTGCCATCACCCTTGCA